TGGCGAGCGCCGGGGCCGGTCCTACCTTCTGCCAGAAGGCGCGACGCGTGCACAAAAGATGGATCCAGGCTATCCTTCTCTGCCATCAGCTCAGGCAAGTATTTCTCTTCTCCCATAGCGCGGACTTCGGACCGTGCCTGGCCAGGCGCGAATCCCGCCCGCTCGGACGCCGCGGTCCCTGGCTCCCGCAGGGGACCGTCCTTCCGCCCGTCAGCGCAGCTCTCGCGCCTGGGGCTGCGCAGCCCGCGCCGGTACCTGCTTCTCCCGCGCCCCTGCCCGGCTCCAGCCGCGGCCTCAGCTGGAGAGGCTGCCCGCGCGGCCCGCCCCCGCAGGCCTCCCATTGGAAGCGGAGCCGGGAGGGCGGGGCGTCCGCGGAGGCGGCCGTCCGTCATTGGGCGGGGCAGCACGTCGAGTCGCCTGAGTGGCAGGAGGCTGCTGCGGAGGGGAGGGGAAGGAGAAGTGCAGGCGCTCTCTCTTGGCCACCTCAGCCGGCAGGGTTCCCAGGCCTGTCTAGAACCCGGGAGCCTGTGAGGACCGCCAGGCTTCCCGGATGCCCAGAGAGGGAGAATGTGCACGCCAGGCACAGGGAGGTGGTGGACTTCACCTGTGTTCCCAAGGCACAGGTGTCTCTCTCCTTGCTGATGGCATGCTCTTGGGCAGGGTTGGAAATCCAAGACTAGACATAGGTTGTGCCTGGTGTTTCCCATGACCTACATACATCTTGGGACAGGAGGATGTCCACTGATGGACAAATGAAGAGGTTATTAAAAGATTTTGTAGTACGGCAAAACACTTCCAGTGTACATCATCGCGATATGGAACTAGTTCTAGGTATCCACCCATCCCGTGGAGAATTTACTCACCATATAAACTTGGGGAGGGGGGGCGGTACCTAACTTCAGTCACTCTGACGTTCTCCTATTTTAAGGTCATGGTCTTTTTCACTATCAAGGGGAATGTTGCTGAACTAATTTATGTCTGCCCCACCTTTATTCAAATGAGCAATTGACTCTCAAGAATCACCAATAAAGGAAGGGGAAAAATGCATCCTTCCTTTATAGATGGGGCCCTGACATATCTTGCTACTTCAAATGGAATGAGTCTTTCTTCATTTTGTTGTCTTTCACAAACAATCCCTTTTCAATTCTCCTTCTAAAGTAATGACTGGACCGACTGCCTGTACATAAAATCTGCTGGAAGTTTTTTATGTTCTTTTATTCTTTCCAAAGCTTTCCTTATATTTTATTCATTTTAGATAAAGTTGGAGTATTATATTGATTCTGCGTGACTGTTTAAGAAGTTAACGTGCCTCACCTTCCATGAGATAACTCACTCCATCTCACAAAAACACTGAAAACATGGTCCCAAAGAAACTGAGTTTTGCTTATATAGTTGGAGATATATGCCTCTTACTTGTGCTAAAGCTGAGAGTAAAATTCAAGTCTCAGTAGTGCCTAAACTTTCAATGGCATGGCTTACCCTGCTCTCCTGTATGCTAGATATTTAAAGTTATCTGCATCTATCCAATTAGTCTTTATAGATACTGTAAGGGGTCTAGAGACTGGACTTGAAATTAGAGGATCACTGCCAGACAAGACAGACACATTGTATTTTTCTCTCACAGTGGAGGTAGAGATGCTTTCTATGGAAGGATGGCAAAGGAACCAAGAAATGTGACAAATCATCAGATTTAATAGAAAATTAGAATGAATCCTAATCGTTAGGGTAGTTTGTGAATTTAGCACAATTATATGATGGGCATTAAAACAAATAAGCTAGCAACCAAATTTCTTATTGTCCACTTCCAAATAGTATGAGCCACCAAAGACAAATCCAACATTCCCTGGACAGGTGCCCTCCACATTCAGATCCAAGTCTTCCCAGTAGGTGACTCCACATCACCATGTCTTGTCCCCTGACTCATTTATAGCTTTTTGGTGGCCACCAAAATTGTGTGTTAAATATTTTAAGAGTAACCTTAGGATTGAGGACATCTTATGAATACAAATGTAAATAAATTGATAACCTATAAATAAATTATTATTGAAAAGAGTATTTGTGATTATACATAAATAAATCATAACTACTGGTACGCTTCCCTCTTCTGGTGCTAGGAAGAATCAAATCATCTCTTAATTGATTTTCAACCTGAGTTCTAGTCCTGAATACGTTCTGAAATGTGCTTTTGCTTGTTGTACAATTATTTCAAACCTGGGTTATTATGAGACCACCCCAACTCAGTTAGCATCCAGAGGATGCTAAAGGCGCACACTATATAGAATATGTTGTGATGAATGTGTAAGCTGTGTGTTCAGTCCCTCCATATATCCTGTGAGAAAGGCCAGCATCAAAGACATTTAATGAGACTTATTACAATCTGAGATGGATCAACCATCAGGAGGGTTTGTTCCACTTACAAAGACTGGAGCTTTCATACCCTCATAGCAAGCTTAGTATCCCCAAAATGCCTGTAACCCATTTCTACAGTGGACAGAGACAGGAGGGTCCCTAGGGCTAACTACCTTTGGGGCTCACTGAGAAAGTGAACCATGGTTTCAAGGAGAGACAGTCAGACAAAGAAATATGTAGAGTGGTAGAGGTAGCACATTGATGGCTTCTTCTATCTGCCCCCTAAACACCACAGGAGCATAACCTCACATAGATGCATACAGGAGGACAGAAGAGAGGGGGGAAGAGAGAGGCAGGAGGGAGAAGGGGGAGGGAGGAAGGAAGAATCATGGATTAACCAAATTATTAACAATTGGTACTTTGTACAGTCATATGGAGACTGCAGGCCTCCATTCAAGTGTGTAGTATTTCTTTAACCTTCTAATGAGTAGGCACATCACCTCGTATAACTGTGAATTGAAATGTTAACTGATTCGCTCTCACTTGCTGAAGAGCTGGGCAGATTCTCATTGGCGAAAGGCTTCTGTTTTGATGCTCAGTTTCTTTATTTTCATTAAATTCACAGGCCATTTATCAGTTCAGTTCTCTAATAGCTTTCTCAATATATTTTAAGGTTATGAAAGGGAATGGGGAAGACTGGCAAATGTTCAATATTTACAAGCATTTGCTACTCAAGTATGGTATGGACATGTCTCCTCCCCAACACACATATCAATAAAATCATAAAGCAAAGTTTTTTTTGGGGGGGGGGTTCATTTGTTTGTTTTGTATTTGGTTTTGTGTTTTGGAGACAGAGTTTATCTGTGTATCCACTGCTGTCCTGAAACTCTCTTTGTAGACCTGGTTGGCCTCGAACTCATAGATCTGCCTGCTTTTGCCTCCAGAAGGTGCTGAAATTAAAGGCCTATGCCACCATCACCTCCTAAAGAATTCTTTAAAGAGAATGGAGAATGATAATGTGGCTATACTGACTATCAATAGCAATGATAATATATATTGCAAAAGGCCTCCCTTTTCAAGTCCTCTGCTAGCAAAGATTAAGAGAAGTTGGACGAAATAGGACCAAAATATATTGTATTAATGTTTCAAGAAATTAATAAAAGATTTATTAAAATAATATAATAAAGTAGAAATGAAAAAGAAAAGTCAATAATTTATAAAGTGTTTAGAATCAAAATTGGCTGGATGCTAATATGTCACAGCACAAGTTAATATTTACAAATTATATCCTAAATATATGTGTGCTGGTTTGAAAATCTCTAAAGTAGGCATGTTATACCTTAAGAGAAACAAGTGTATAATTTAAGCATAGCAAACAAGTGTTGTGGGATTCCCCTTTGTATGCTGTGATTACCATTAATTAATAAAGAAACTGCTTTGGGCCTATAGCAAGGCAAAATAGAGCTAGGCATGGAAAATGAAACTGAATTCTGGGAGAATGAAGGCAGAGTCATGGGAAAGCCATGTAGCCTCTGCCAGGGACAGATGCACCGGTATCTTGCCAGTAAGCCATAGCTATGTGGTGAAACACAGATTAATGGAGATGGGTTAGTTTAGGTTATAAGAGCAAGCTAGAAATACACTTAAGCTACTGGTCAAACAGTATTGCAAATAATATAGATTCTGAGTGATTATTTCATGGTCTGGGTAGCCAGGAATGAACAAGTGGCTTCTGCCTACAGACAAGGGTCAGTAAGAAAAGAGCTGGCAGTTCAATGGTGGCTACCTAGTTGGCATATTGCTATTCTAAACACTCACAATTTGAGTAATAAAGCCAAAGAAGAAGCTGTGCTATTTTTTAAGTGATTTCACTATCCAAGTAATACATACATTTCTGGTGTTTAAATCATCTGTTTTTGTGAAACTAACTGAGGTGAATCTCTGGAAAGCTACCCCCTTTACCTCTTTGACATGTTATTGTTTGCGCTAATACCAGATTTCTTATGGGTGAAGAGAATGTAGCCATCATTATCACTCCAAGGCAAAGTTATTGACTGTCTCTCCTTAATATTAAATCCAATAAATGTTGACTTGTTGCTTGAGTATTGATTGTTTTTAGAGATCAGCATATTAAAGAAAGGGATTACAACACTGATATATAATATTTCCTGTACACAGCAAATAAAGATCTGATCTCCATTGTATTTGGTTTAAATTAAGGAGATAAATGCTACAAACAGATTTAATTTAAAAATACCTTCAGTTAAATTAAAATTTTTATGAATAATATGTATCATGACTAATACAAGGGAAGAAAGATTGGATTAAGTTTTAATTTTAATTTAGGAATTACTTATGGACATTCCTGGAATAACTGCCTATTATTAAAATAGTCAAGAAAATGTCATCCTACTCAAGGTTTTAAATCACTGCAAGTAATTAGCTTATGTACGTTTTCTCATTCTTGACCTCTATGTTAGGATACTGCTATACATGATAAAACATTGTGATGTTTTGTTGCATAGAATAAACATGAAGTTTTATATAAAATATTTGTATAAATTAGTTGCCAAATTTAGCAGTAAATATTTCAGAGACAAAAAGTAGAATGACATTGTCAGGTAGAAGTGAAGAAAAAGGTTTTTCGGGACTTGGCTGCAAGATGACCAAAAAAAGGAGAAACAACGGTCGTGCCAAAAAGGGCCGCGGCCATGTGCAGCCAATTCGCTGCACGAACTGCGCCCGCTGTGTGCCCAAGGACAAGTCCATTAAGAAGTTCGTTATTCGGAACATCGTAGAGGCGGCTGCCGTCAGGGATATATCCGAAGCAAGTGTCTTCGACGCCTATGTGCTCCCCAAACTCTATGTCAAGCTGCATTACTGTGTGAGCTGTGCTATTCATAGCAAGGTAGTCAGGAATCGATCCCGGGAAGCTCGGAAGGACCGAACACCCCCACCACGATTTAGACCTGCTGGTACTGCACCACGACCTCCACCACCAAAACCCATGTAAAGTGGCTTCATAAAGATAGAAGAAAACACCTTGGAAAAATAAAATGGAACTTAAACTTTAAAAAAAATAAGTGAAGAAAAAGATAATTGTTTACTATGTACAGAGTTGAAGTTGGCTGAGATTACTAAGTTCTGAACATGGAGTGTGCAAATTCTTGAATCAGCTTAAAATAACTACAGTATACATTTAAAGTGATTAATATGGCAAACTTTGAACAAAACTGAACACAAGTATCAGGCATTAGAAAAGGATAATGAAAATTTAAAATGGTATTCCAACCTTTGTCCGGTAGTACACACAGGAATCCCAACACTTGAGAACTGAGGAGGATAGTCACGAGTTCGAGATCAGGCTTGGCTACACAGAAAGGCAGTCTTAAGAAAAACATACCCAAATTAAAGAACTAACCCATTCTACATCAAAGAGAGAGAAAGGAAGAATTAAATATGAGATTCAGAGCAATGTCATAAGTTGGATTCTGTGGGGACATGGACTGATGAACATCCAACCAGTGTAAATCTGACCAATCACAATGGAAATAATCTCAATGCAACAAACAACTTAATACTCGATTACATCCTGGGGCAAATTTTATTTTTATTTTTTTCTTAAACATGCTGACAGTGTACCTGACAAAATATGAATAATATCTATGTTTCTAGCTTTCTGCTTTTTCTCATTATACAATGATTGTATAAATGATTGCCTTGGTTTAGGAAAAGCAGATAAGATATCTGAGGAGTAAAGGATCTTCATATTTGATTCTATTCTCAAATAAGAAAAAAATATCTATACACAGAACTAGAGATGGAGGAAATTACATAAGAATATAGTGAGTGAGGTAGAATATTAACAGTTGGGGGAAGCGGGATAGGACTCATAATATGAAATTTCCATAGTTTTTCCACTTTTCTATGTGATATGATTTCAGAGTAAAAATCAAAAATGAGTGTTAATAAAATAACATCAATATATCTAATTGGCAAATCATTTGAAGCATCAAAGTTTACTAGCTGGCTTTGGAAATAACAAACCTGCAGTTTTACCATACTGTGTCCATTATAGTGTGCACTGAATTCATGAATTGAGAAGTTAGAAGTATTTTGAAAATAGTTAAATTTACAAAATCTTAAGTATGTCTAATAAATAAGTAAATACATTTCAGTTATGAAGTATTTTGAAAATAGTTAAATTTACAAAATCTTAAGTATGTCTAATAAATAAGTAAATACATTTCAGTTATGAAGTAGCAACATTTTTTTTTTATGATTGGGAGCTTACCACATGAGTAAATGCATTAAAGGTTCTTAGTTTTAGGAACATTGAGAACCAATGATCTTGAGGTTGTAGAGACCAAAAGGGGGGTTGATTTTGGAAAACATTTGTGTAACGGTAAAAGTAATTAAAACGCTGCAGGTCCCCGAGTGGCAGCAATGGGCAATGGGCACGAGAACACGGCAGGCCAAAAAGGCAGCCAGTCACAGGTAGGGAGCCCTTGAACATCCATGGGCCATGAGGGCCAGTGGGTCCATGGCTTTGCTCAGCCTGCTTTCTTATAGAACCCAGGAACACAAGGACGGCACCATTCACCATGCACTGGGCCCTCTCTGCTCAATTAAGGAAATGCCTTACATCTGGATCTTATGGAGGCATTTTCTCAACTGAGGTTCCCTCCTTTCAGACAACTCTAGTTATCAAGTTGACATAAAACTAGCCAGGACAAGAGGTTAGCAAGTGGGTTAGCTACAACAATGGATATGAAAATATATTTGATTTTAAGCTAATTTTATAAAGTTATTATATATTAAATAGGGGGTTTGAGCCAAAATACCCTGATTTGGCAGACAATGATGCCCTCAGTAGACACAGGGTATTAAATGAATATCTCAGTAACTAACAAGAGATACATCCCGAGAGTAATTAGAGAGGATCAGTAAGTACCTTAAACAACACAGTTTATTGCTGGTACTCTTTGTTGTACACCATAACTAGATAACAATACCCTACTGCTTCAGACACAACTCACATTGGAGGAAGGACATACAGAAGTATGACTGCAACCTTCCCAGGAAACTTTCTTATCAGTGGAAGCATCAGTATTTATGAGCTGCCATCATGGAGCTGAGGACTCCTCTTCCCCCTCAAAAGGTTGAACATCTTTGTATTTTTATAATGCTTTTCTTCTTTGCTGAGAAAGTAAAACCCTATTTCTTAGAAATCTTATATGAGTATCTCTTTTCCAGCACCCATTCAAGCATTACACATTTAGTATCCACTCTTTAACTAAGGGATTTTCTGAAGGGCAAGTTGTTTTCTGTTGCTGTACAAATTCCTACCACCAGTAGTCTTTATGTTACCCACCCACTGGGGTGTGGCCTCTTTAAATTATATGCCAATGTAAGGCATGTGCGGCCTCTTTCTTGGCTGTTGATTCAGTTGCTGTTCCCTGTTCAAGCAGAGGATTGTGATCTTGTGATCTGTGAGTCTACCCCTAAATAAATAACCTTTTATTATACTCAATTCTGAGCTAGTGTGGGATTTCTTTTTTAGTGTCCTTCTTCATTCTGTATGATAATATATTATTTTTAGAGTTATGGTTATTATATTATTAGCAATTTACCTGTGCTTTTCAAACACTCTATATTTTTATCTTGATGAGAATCCCAGAATTCAAATTGCAAAGTTAGACAGCATCTGGGATGTCATCGCCTCCTTTTGTAGTCTCTACATCAAGTCTGAAGCACACTGATGAAACATGAATTTGGCACTATCTGGTATTAGGAGAAAACAAATTAGCTTTTAATTATGTCAAACTTTTCATATACTGGTCATCACTAAATTTTGTTTCATTAATCTTTTTGGGACTTAAACTTTCAACACCTTGTTTTAGCTTTTCAATTTTGCTCTCTCTCCCTTCCTCCCCACCAATTTCTACTTTAGAACAATGCTTACATTCTACAAAACCATTAACCAAAGTTATTTATCCTCTGAAAGTATTTTTTATTTCTCTTTAACCTTAGTGTGTATGTGCATGTTATCTTTTCTTACTCAATATTTACTATTTTATTTTTCTTTGCAAAATTTGACATTTTGTTAATAATAAAATAACTGTTTTCCAATGAAAATGCAAAAAGCTGAAACACAACACAATATATTAACTGTCTTAATGACAATCTTTGTTTATTACTGACCAATTTGTGAGAAACTGAATACCTGCTGTCACAGGTGTTTTAAAAACTGGCTTTGTTAAAAAGGCATACTTCATTTGTGCCTACAAAGTAGTCAAAAACAAAGAAATTTAGACATTTTCATCTCTTCCCTGCTTTGGTCTCCTTTATTATTTTTATTACTTGCTTACCAATGTAGAAAGATATACTAAATCACAGAGGTAAGCCCTTTTTTTTAAAACTATTGCCGTCTAGGATTCCAGTATATGCAAAATCTCCCAGGGTAGGTCATCCTCCACATAAGGGGAGTTATCCAGGAGGGCAAGAGCATACCATCAAACAGCCACAATAAGTATTGAGAACGAGATTTTCCGCAGAAATAAATATGACTTATCTGTATCCCACTGCTTCAGAAAGAAAGTAGTCATCCTAGCAAATCTCAGGCTCTGAGCTTTGGTGTATAAAATGAGAAAGTGTTATTTAGAACTACCATAGCAGAAAGAAAACTCACAGAACACAATCTCCACATTGGCACGGGTTACTTGGATTACAATGTGAGTATTATTGTAGTGGGCATTATTCAGTCGATCCTAAGTCTGTATTTTCAGTTAAATGAATTCTGAAGTAAGCACATTCATAATTATGTTTGTCAATAAGTGAACATGAATGTCTATGACAATGACTACCTTATTAAAAAATGTACTTGCCTTCTACTGACAAGGTAATGGCTTTTTCAAGCTTTTACAAAGGATTTTCACTATAAAGTTTTTTTCTGAGAAACTTAACAAAAATTATCTACACAAAGCTGTCAAATGGAAACATGACTGAGTAAAAAAATATTAATTTCATCCCATGGATGTTAATACATGACTTCCATTAAAAATAGAATAAAACTTACCTAAAAGCATTGTTAATACACAGCTTCCCCTGCTCATGAAACTTCCTTTGGAAAAACTAAAGAAGATACTAGTTTAAAGATGGCTTATGTAAAATTCATATTTCCTCTACAGCAAACCAAAAGAAGAAATGAAATAATGAAAGAAAAATGCAAATGTAGTACCAGCGGCAATTTCAAAATTCCTTTCTCTTTGTGTGTGTGGTATGCATATATGTTTATATGGGTCTGAACACGTGTGAGGAGGTATCCAGAGGTCAACATTCAATGTCATTTTTTTGTGACTTTCCAAATCATTGTTTGTGACAGGGTGCATCATTGAATCTGCAGTTCATCAGTCTGTCTCAGCTGGCTGCCTGGCTGGCTGGCTGAGGGATTTGCTTTTCTCTATCACTCAGTGTTAGAATTGTGCTCACATGCGAGGCCCTTAATATGGAAGCAAGGGATCAATTCTTGGGTTTTTATGGATGCACACACAGCACCTTATCAGCTGAACACTCTCCCCATCCCCTGCCATTTTTAAATAAATAAAATACAGATTTGGTTGACTAAATACTGTGAGAATAAATTATAATATAGTTGTGATATTTTGGTTTGGGGTTCACTTTTGATAATCATTATCAAAGGCACATTCATCATCCAGAAAAGGACAAAGCAATGTATTTGAACTGAAAATTGAACACAATCAATCATATTTCCAAGTTATGCTTAGAACTGACAAAACTTTCCCAAGTTAGGTAGGGACAGAATAAAGTTAGAATAATTTGTAGGGGACATTATGCTCTTGGTATACTTCCAAACTCATGACTGAACATACAGAAGGAATTATAGAGTATTTTACTTTCCCATGAGTAAGTACAAAAGCAAAGTGCTTTCTAAGACACCACTTATGCAGATGAAATTTCTACATTTTAGTATTCAACTTGCCGAGATGCATG